GGGGCGGGGGGGGGCGGGGGAGGGGAGCGCGGGGGCCCCCTTGGCGGGAGGAGGGGGAGGGGCGAGGCGCGGGAGGGGGAGAGAGGCACTTCCGGTCTGCCCCCCCACCCTTAACCCCCCCGTTCCAGAGTCCTCCCGCGCAGGTGCAGAGCGAACCAGGGAGAGCGCGCGGGGAGAGGGACGCAGCGCCACTCGGCACAGAAGATGCCTCGGCACCGCGTGCGGGGACGCGCGGACGGGCAGAACTACCCTTGATGGACAAGAGACTCCCAAGAGTGAGAGAGGCCCAACCTCCCCAGAGGGGTTGAACAGACCCCCCACCACGGCAGACGACACACTGCGCACCTCCAACACAGTAAGGAAAGGCTGGCCAAGATGCTCAACTGGGCAGGGCGCTGAAACAGCACCCTTCCCATACAGGCTGCAGTGAAGGGATACACACACACACACACACACACACACACACACACACGCACGCACACACACGACAGCTCACCAGAGAGCAGTGGACCCCCCCCCCAGGTCAGGAGAAGAGGGGGTGGTACACGCCAGGAGGAGGTACATGCACCAACAAGAAGATACAGGAAGGGCACATTCACAAGCCAGGTCGCCGCAGACTGGGTTAGCAGAGGGAAGGCTGGACCAAAGGGGCCCCCCAGATACACCCCAGCAGCACCCAGCCACAGAGGGGGTGGAGGAGAAGGCAGGCAGGAGGAGGCAGGAAACTAAAGTCAAGGGGAACCACCCCCACTCAGCTGTTGGAGCGAGTGACCCCCCAAACCCAAGTCCAGAGAGATGCAGACTGGGGGTGGGGGGAGCCTCCATACTCACCCAGTACCCAGAGCTGGAGATGTACCAGGTGAACAGGCACAAGGTGACGCACCTCAGACCCTGGGGCGCAGGGTGGCTAGCATCCCAGGCCTCCCCTCCCCCAACCCAGACCATTCCCCCACTGGCCAGAACACAGACACGGGTTTGGACACATTTAATGGAGGGTACTCTGAACAGGGAGAGCCTTCCCTAGATTGGGGTAGGTGGACTGGGGTGGCAGAGGAGGGTGTCATATTTCAAACACCTGAGTTATGACATACCCCCCCATCCCTGCCCTGGCCCCTGGGGTCACCCCCTCCTCTGCCCTTCCCTCCCTAAACATTTTAGGTTCTGAATCCCAGACCAGGCAGAAACATGCGTGCACTTGGCTGGGTAAGGCACACACACATTGACACAGGGTGTGCGGAGACCCGTCACCTGTTCACAAGTGAGCAGACACATGGACATGTCTGGTAACTTTTGCCCACAGTCAGAGACGCGCACGTGTGCAAAGCCAGCCAGGCGTTGGTGTGCACCAAGGATTGCCGCACACAGCCTTGGGTCAGGGAATATTTACAGGGAGGGACACCGCGCTAGCCTTCTGCCTGTAACATGCCAGCAGATGCATCATGCACACTGGCGAAGAAACACACGTGTCTACACGCTGAGACCCCTCGAGTCTGGTCATGCACACATACACAGTCTCAATCCCCAACATACAAGGCATCCCATCCTGACCCCATCCCCACCCCACCCCTCCCCTCTCACCTCCCTGAGTCAGTCCCATCCATTAGACTTCAGAAGTGAGACAGCCAGCAGCCAAGGGGGGGGGGGACAAGTGTCAGCATGCCCCCTCTGTCCCCACCCCCTGGGTCCTGCTGCTTCCACCCCCCAACTGGTTTGACACACAGGATGCATTACACGTCCACGGTATGGGACTGCACAAAGACGGTGGGGGGCGGGGCGGTACAGGAAGGAGACCAGGACTGTCAACTAACACACACATGAGCACTCAGGGTCCCCCAGGCATCTCCCAACCCCCATCCTGGGTATCCCTAAACTAAACAGTATCAGTGACTGCCCAGGACAGGTTTGGGGTTGGGCTGTTAGATAAAGACCCTTCTCCCTCCCTTCAAGTTGAGGAAGAAGATGAGGAAGAGGCCTTAAAGCTGGGGTGCAGAGGGAGATGGGTACAGGGACACCCGGGAGTATGAGGACATTTACCTTGGGGCATCGAAGCTGTCGTAGGAGCCCACAGTGTAATGCCGGAAGAGTCTCTTTGCTTTGTCGCTTCGGCTTTCTGTGGGGGTACAAGGGACAGCCTTGATCCCTGGCTTTGGAAGCAGCAACCCCACTCTCAGGCTTCTGCACCCCAGTTCCACCAGATGGGGGAAAGAAAAGGGACAGGAAGGGTTCCGGTGCTTCAGGGATGGGTAGGTGAGGGGAGCCCTTTCACCTTGCTTTCCCTCCTGGGAGCGGTTTGCCACCTCTTCCAGGCAGTCAGAGGGGAACCAGCCGACGCGGCCTTTGACCTGGCCTTCCCAGAAGCCTCCTTCTCCGATGCTGAGCACTGGACAGGAGAGGAGGGACACAGGCTGGAGAGATGGCTCAGTGGGTAAGAGCACTGGCTGCTCTTACAGAGGTCCTGGGCTTGGTTCCCAGCGCCCACGTGGTAGCTAACAACCATCTGTAACTCCAGTTCCAGGGGATCCTGGACGCCCTCTTCTGGCCTCCTCAGGCACTGCACAACGCAGGTGCACTTACATGCAGACAATACACTCATACACATAAAATAAAGATAAATAAATTAATTAAAAGTTAAAAGACAAAGAGGGACAGGGAAGCATTTTAAGCTTTCTGTTTTCTCTTCCCTCCTCCTCTCAGGCCTCTCCTTTCTCCTCTCCTTCCTCTCTTTTTGCTCCTCCTCCCTCCCACCTTCCCTCCCTCTCTCCCTCCCCCTCCCCCCCTCTGGTTTGTTTTTCTGAGACAAGGTCTTATGTAGCCCAGGTTGGCTTAACTCTATGTAGCTGTACATGAACTCCTGATGCACCTCTTCCCCCCACCCCCAGTGCTGGGGTAACAGGTATGTACCACCATGCTCTGTGAATGTGGCCCTGGCTTGGAACCCAGGGCTTTGTGTACACTCTACCAACTGAGCCACATCCCTAGGCTTCTTGTAAGGTTTCTTTGTCCCCAACATGCTCAGCACATACCACTCCCATCATTCCTAGCACCCAAGGACATCCTTAAGATAGATCTGAGGCAGAAGCATTTTGTGAGTTCATCACTAGATGCTCTCAAAAATCAAAATGAAAACTTGGTGGTGGGGCTTGTGCTGGAGAGATGACTCAGTGGATCAGAGTGCTTGCTATGCAGTCATGAGGGCCTGAGTTCCGATTCCAGCAGCCATGATGAAAAAAGAAAAAGCTGAACGTAGCTGCAGGCAGGCCTGCAAACCCCAGTCCTGGTTCAGTAGAGATAGGGGGATCCCTGGGGCTTGCTGGTCAGTAGCCTAGCTCCAACTCCAGTGAGAGATCTTGTCTCCACAGAATAAGACAGACCTAATGTCCCCCTCTGATCTCCACATGCACACACACACCAAACAACAAACAGAAATGGTACGGTGGTACGTGCCTATAATCTTAGTATCTTAGCTCTTGGGAGGTGAAGGCAAAATTAAAGAAGTTCAAGGTCATCCTGGGCTACATAAGACCCTCTCAAAAAACCAGAAAAAGACAAAAGATGGTCTGAGGAAGGGACAAGGGAACGGCAGAGAGCCGAGCCAGACCATGTTCCATTCGAGCTTTCCAAACCCTAGAGGAACATCAGGTAAGCTTGGGAACAGACTGGCTAGGGGAAGGTCCACAATGGTCCCTGTCTCTTCTAGTTACCATCACAGCCTGGTTGCAGGTCCTCCTAACCCTCCACAGCCCTGTGGCTCAGATGGTGGCTCTGGGAACAGCTGGACCCACCTCTGTTCCTGCCAGTTCCCTAAATCCCCACCTTACTCGATCCTGGTCTTTGCTCCTAAACCCCTCCCTCTGCCCTTTACTGCTTCCGCAAAAGAATTCAGATCATCTCTGGACCTCTCCCCTTCCACCCACCGCTGGAGGCAGCTCCACCTTTCAGCCCTTTAGCCACCATCTCTGCCTTCCCACCATCCCCATGCTGAACTACAGAGACAGATGGCCAGGAAAACTGGCTCTCACTCTAGGCTGGAGCCCTGAGAGCACACTTTTACTACATCCACTTTTACTACCGATGAAGAAACAGGCTCAGAGAGCGAATGCCACGTGCCACCTGGCCCTGGTCACAGGACTAGTTATTGGCAAGAGGTGTATTTGAACACAGACCTGTGGGGTTCTGTGGCCAATGGTCAGAGTGGATGGTATGTGGCTGAATTCCCATCCGTGGGCCTCTGTGCTAATGCAGATGTTGTGCCCACACTGTGTCCTGCACCGCTAATGGTTTTCCCAGCTCCTTTTGAACTCTGTCCATCCTGTTATCCCTCCTGACTCAAGCCCTAGATCTCCTTGGGTTAGTACAGATTCATAAAGAAGCTGAAGACAAGCTGGGCCTGGCATAAGTCTGTCATCCAAGCTACTCTGGAAGCTGACACAGGAGATTGCAAAGTCAAGGGCTACCTGGGTTATAGAATGAGTTCAAGGCCAGCCTGTACAACTTAGAGAGACCCTGTCCCAGAATAAAGAGGGCTGGAGTGTGGCTCAGGGTAGAGACCCTGCCTAGGATTCCCCCAGTGAGGGGTTGGGGTGTGGCTCAGTGGTGGAGCCCCTGCCTAGGATCCCTCAGTGAGGGGTCAGTAATGTGACTTAGTGGTGGGGTGCTTGCCTTCTGGGATCAATCCCACTACTGCAAAAAACAATGTTGAAGGATTGGGGAGATAGCTCAGTAGGTGACATCACCTTGCAAGCATGAGGATCTGAGTTCAATCCCCAGAACCCATGTAGAAAGCTGGGCATGGTGGCCCACACTTGTACTCTCAGTGCTGGGGACGTGCAGGCAGGCAAGCCCCTGGGCTTGCTGGCTGGCCAGCCACTCTTACTTGGCACATTCCAGGAAAGATCCCATCCCAGAAAAACAAGGCAGATAATCCTGAGGAACAACACTCAAGGTCGTGACTGGGCTCACCCTAGGAGTTGCTGGGGGACCCAGGACACTTCTCTTTATACAAACTGTCCTCCTTGAGGATCTGGAGAGATCACATGAGTGGAGGTCAAAGGTCATGGATTCAAATAGACTGCAGGGTAACCTGGGGTCTGGATCAGTTCTGCCATGCCTGACTGAGTCATCTTGAAGTCAATCATTTGTTCACAAAACACCTACTGAGAGCCAACTGCATAGCAGGTACCAGGGCAGACACAGCTGGACACAACCAGTATGCTTCCTGTCTGAGTGGAGATCCAAGACTAGAGGCCCTTGGAGGAGTGACACATGAGCCAGCACGCAAGGGGACAGAAGAGGCTGACCTGGGGACATGGGCCTGTGATCCCCTGGACTCTAGAGGTGGAGGCAGGAGGATTGCTACAAGTTTGAGGCTAACCTGGTCTACATAGTGAGCTCCAGGTTTGCCAGGGTTACTTCGTAAGACTGTGCCTCAAAAATAATGAGGTGAATGTGAGGGCAATGGAGCTGTGACACTGTGACCCCACTTATCATCAGGGTTGACTGAGCTGATGGCCAAGTAGGCAGGTGTTCTCTCCTCCCTCACTGTTTCTGGTGCCTCCCTCATGCTGGAATCTGTGTGCTCAGTTGCAGAAAACAACCTTCAGCAGCAGAGAAAACTATTCTAGAACCTCCAAACATGCTCTCAAAAATGGTAGGCACTGGAGAGGTAGCTTAGTGGTTAAGATCACTTCTCTGCCATTGTCAGGACCAGAGTTCCCATCCCAGCATCCACATTACAAGCTGGGTGGCCTGTTACACCTGAGACCCTAGCTCCGAGGGAGTTAGAGGAGGATGGTAAGATGCAAGACCCAGGTTCAGGGAGAGACCTTGCTTCAAAGGAATAGGCAGAGACTGGCACACACACACACACACACACACACACACACACACACAGGCCCCCATACACACATGTGCACATACACTCACACAAACACGTGTACACACAAGCAAATATCTGGTTTTTAAATTGGGGGTGGTGGTGGACAGAGTGTGTGTTTGGAGAGAGGTCAGATAGAGTGTGTGACCTGGAGAGAGAAGGCATCCAGATGTCCCTAAGACCTAAAGCATCCTAGTAGCTGAAGGTGCAAAGAAACCACATAAGGCTTTCCATGTAGGAGGTTTCCTAGCACTGGAGAAGCCGAGGCAGGAGGACTGCCACCAGTCTGAGGTACGTATTGGCTACGTAGTGAATTCAAAGTCTGCCTGGGCCACAGTGGGAGACCCTGTTTCTAGATAGATACAAAGAGACATAGATAGATGATAGATACATAGATACAGATTGCATAATTGATAGGTAAGTACATAGATGATTGATATATATGATAAATACTAGATTAATAAATGTAGATTATAATAGATAAATGATAGATGGATAGATGATAGATACCAGATAGGTAGATAAATAGATGATAGATACATAGATAGATGATAGAGACTAGGTAGATGGATGGATGGGTGGATGGATGGATGGATGGATGGACAGACACACAGCTAGGCCCTAATAAGCCACACACTAGTGACCTCTCCGTCCTTGCCTGAAGGAACTCAGGCTATGCAAAGGCAGGAGGTAATGATCTATCTTGTGGGATAAGGACCCTGAACACCCTTCAAGACCCTCCTCACATGTGTCCAAGGGAAGGATCTCTCTTGCTTGTCCAGCACCCCTTTCCTTGAGTGCTTTTGACAAGGAAGGCTGGCTGTCATCTGGCATTTACCACATCTAAACCATGGGTCTAAGAGACTTGGGGATTTCCATTTCCCCAAGAGCCATGTTTTACAGAGAAGACTGAGGTGGGGAGACATCCATTTCTAGATGTCTGAGAAGTGGTGGGGCCAAGCTTTGAGCTCAGATGCCCGGGGTTCAGCTGCTACGCTGCAGGGCTCCTGGGTAGATGAGATTCTGGCAGAAAACTCTACTTGTTATGAAGTGACATCGCCTCTAACGGTGTCCCCCATTTGTCTGGAGTGTAAACTGTCCACTGCCCTGCAAAGGCTTCAGGTTGTGGGCTACAGGGGATGCTCTGTAGGCAATAAAACCAGAGAGACCAGGCATGATGGGGCATGCCTGTAATCCCAGCACCTGGGGAGCAGAGGCAGGGGGACCAGAAGTTCAAGGTCACCCTGGGCTACTTAGTGATTTCAAGGCCAGCTTGAACTAATGAGACCCAGCCTCAAAAACAAAAGCTCCAGTTGCTGAGATGGCTATCAGTAAACCAGCCTGAGGGCCTGAGCTTGGATCTCCAGCACCCACGTGAAAAGCCAGCTTGGCTGAACCAGTGAGCTCCAAGCTCCATGAGAGACCTTGTCTACAATATTAGGTGGAGAGAGATGGGGAAGACACTTGACAGCAACCTCTGGCCTCCTGTATTACCCATGCATGTGTACATACTCATGCAATACACACACACACACACACACACACACACACACACACACACACACAAGTGCACAGCTGGCGAAATGGCTCAATGGATAAAGTGTTTATCATGCAAGCAAGACCTGAATTCAGACAGCCAGAGTCTACATTAAAAGTGGAGTGTGACAGGCTGCCATGGAGTAAGCTGGCTAGTATAGCCAAACCTGCAAGTTCCACATTCAACAAGGGAGACCCTGTGTCTTAGCCGGGCATGGTAGCGCATGCCTTTAAACCTAGCACTTGGGAGGCAGAGGCAGGTGAATAGTCTGTGAGTTTGAGGCCAGCCTGGTCTACATAGCAAGTTCCAAGCCATCTGGGGCTACAGGGAGATCCTATCTCAAAAAAAGACCAAAAGAAAAAAAAAAGAAAGAAAGAGACCCTGTCTCAGCAAAGTTGGGGAGTGATCAAGAAAAGCACCCTGGGGCTGGAGAGATGGCTCAGCGATTAAGAACATTGGCTACTCCTGCAAAGGACCCAAGTTCAATTCCCAGCACCCATATGGCAGCTAACAGCCATCTGTAACTCCAGTTCCAGGGGAATCTGACACCTTCTTCTGACCTCCGTGGGTGCTTACATACATGCAGGCAAATACATTCATACACATAAAATAGAAAAATAATAGAATTTTTTTTAGAAAAGAGACATCCCACATCAACTTCTGGCCTTCACATGTGCAGTAAACACATTCACACACACCTGCACATATATGTGAACACACATGCACACACAAAGAAAGAAAAATAAGCCCCATTCCAGCTCAGCACTGGCCGATGTACCCTGTTTTGCTGGCATGGGCTGTGCTTCCTTCAAGGCAGACAGGCCTCTGGGAGCCCCCTGAAGTCCTTGAGATGCCCCCTCTGCCCTCCACACCGCCCTGCCCTGCCCTGTTACCTTTGATCTTCTCTCCTTTGCTTAGCGAAATCTCCCCCTCGCCTTGCGCCTGGTACGACTTCACGGCCATGAAAGAGCGTCCAGGTACCGCCGAATAGAGTTTCCTGCGTCTGCCTCGGCTGCCCAGGGAGCCCCCGGGGCCTCCTGAGCCCCCAGTACCCCCGGCCGGCCCGTCTCGGGGAGTCCCGCTGGAGCTGCATATACAGAGGGTGTGAGAGGCAGGGGAAACTGGAGGAAGGGGGTGCTTCCAGGGTGAGTGACAAGGGTCCTTGGACGGACGGAGGTGCAGCATCACAATGGGACAGGAATTGAGTACTTTTCCCAGCTCTGGTGTCCTCAAGAGACCAGCTGCACGCACCCCATCTCCTGTCTCCAGCCCCCCAATGTCCTGCACAGCACAGTCTGATTCAGCTTTCTGAGGCAGAGCTGGGACTGCCCCCCTCCCCGGCCCCCCATGAGCCTTCAATGACTCCCAGCTTCCTTCTGGGGCAGGCCCAAGCCCACAGCCTGCTGTTGCCCGTCTTTCCTGTTTCCTGGGGACATGGAACATGCTTGTGGGCCTCCTCTCCCTGACATCCTTACCCCAAATGATGTCTGCTCTCTCTGACCTCTCTGCTCCCTGCTTCCCATCACAGCTCCCCCATAACTCTGGACACTGTTCCCCAAATCCCTGTCCTCTCCAACTCCATCTTCCTCATTTCTTTGGGGATTCCTCCCCTTCTCCCACCATGTTCAGCTGAAGTTTGATGTATTTAAGGATGAGTTAGGTGAGACACCCAATTAACACTCTCATTTCACCCCTGAAACAGTCAAGAGCAGCAGGTGAATAGAGGACCCATCACTCTTGGGGCAGGAGGTGAGCAAGGGCTAGAGGCCTGCATCTTGCCTACCTGGGCCGGCCTCGAGGCTGTCTCTTGGCCTCTTCAGGGTGTCTTCCTCGGGATGGAGAGCGTGCCCGGGCACCTCGAGGGCTACTGGCACTTCGGAGGGTCCCACTACTGAGCTTGGTGCTGGGGGCCGAGGGCTGTGACTGGCCCTGGGGTCCTGAGGTAGGGCCAGGGGTCCCCGAGGATGAAGCCCCCGGGGCTGAAAACACCATCCAATCTGGCAGCGCCATGCTGGTGTCACTGTTAGCTCGAAGCAGTGCTGGGGGTACTGTCAGTCCTGCGCCTGGGGGTCCCCGACGGCGGGCTGCATACTTGGGGGACTCCTGGAAGGGCACTGGGGGCATACAGTGGTGGGGGCAGGTGGAATGGGGAGACAGAGGCAGGCAGGGACATGTAGGCAAAAGGTGGTAGAAGAGAAAAAGAGATAATGTGGGGGGCCTGAGTCACTCCCCCACCACTCCTCAGACAACTTTGGACCTTGGAGCTCCCCACTCACCAACTCTCCCACCCCCACCACAGCCTGACCTCCTTCGATCAGGCCCCATTCTCTCCAATCCCACCAGAAACCTTTGGTTCCTCCTTCACCCCAATTTCCTCTTACTCACCCACATCCTGTTCCCGATGGTTCCTGATCAGCTCCCCCAGCTCAAAATTCCCAGCAATCACAGCCACCTGGAGGAGAGTGAGGGGAGAGGCTGACCCTCAGTTGGGAGAAAGGGCATGAAACACCTGAGTTCCCCCACCCCTCCTTCCACCCCAGACCCCTCCTTCCACTCAGACCCCTCCTTCCACCCAGACCCCTCCTTCCACCCAGACCCCGCCTTCCACCCCAGACCCCGTCTTCCACCCCACTGGCCCCGCTTTCCACCCCAGACCCGCCTTCCACCCAGACCCCGCCTTCTACCCCACTGGCCCCGCCCTCCCCCCCCCTGCCCCCGCGGTGTCACCACACCACACCCCCCCACCTCACCGCCCCC